TTTTCTATAAATACAAGCCCCCCCTTCATGGTTTGGGATTGGAAAATTTTGTCCAAAAGCTATAACTTGTCCAACACACTTCTCTCTTCTCTTACAATATACATACACTATACATACACCTTCTAAGCCTAAACTTGAGGATTTTGCTGAGGTTCTTGAAGATAATTTTAGCTCATCGAGAGTGCTCAACTTGTGGTTTGTGAACTAGGAAGCTCTTCCTCTCTTTAAGGGGTAATGTTTGAGCTTTTTTCACCATCTTTTCTCTCTCTTTCCTTGTGTTTACTTTATGTTTTCAGAGTGTTTTGAGGCTTGAAATATATGATTTAAAGTCACAAAAAAGAGGAAGGGTTAGCCTCCCTTCCTTAGGCTTGTTGGTTGGTTGAAACCCTTTGGTTTTGTTCCATTTTTGCTCACTTTTTCCACCTCTAAAACTTGATTTTCAGCACTGTTTTTGTGCTGATTCAGTGCTTTTTAATGTGTTAAATTATGCTTTGCATATTATACTTGTGTTGTTGTAAGTTCTCATGGATTTGGTGTAAGCCATAGCTTCCAATCCATTTATTGATACTCATTTCCTTCTTTTTTATGGCTTTCATATATATATATATATATATTCACACCATTATAATCACCCACCTTTCATTAGCCCTCTGCAACCTCCCTCATTTCTTTGTTTCTTTAATTAAGAGTTGTATCAAACAAAAGATTACCGCTCAAGGCATAAGAAAGAGACCCTTCATGCTAAATGGTTTAATCTCTTCGGAGGTTCATTACCAGGGCATTACATCTCTTTTATGCTAAGCGTGATCTCTTTTTTGCTAAGCGTGATCTCTTTTTTGATACTTCTCTTTATTGCCAGTGCATTACTTCTAAGGGACTCACTTTCTAGTTAGACCATTGGAAATCATAAAGGAAAGATTTATTATAGCTCATTATCGAGTTCAGATTTGGAGTCATTATCGCTCATTTCGAGTTTGACTTCGAATTCATTATCGCTTGTAAATGGGTTTGATTTTTCCTTTGTAATTTTCCTTGTAGAAAAGGGCTTGAAAAGCTCATTTCTCGAGTCAAGTCATGCTTACTATCCTTTATTACTTTTGGATTTAGTGGACCTAATCATCACCTTTGGACAAAAAGAAGAAAATATAAGAAAATGGAAAGGTAAAGAAAAAAAAGGCTAATAAAATTAGAGTAAGAGAGGTAAAAAGATAATAAAATTTGGTTAGGTTTAGTCGGACGTTATACTGAACCTATTGCGTCTTGAATCATCGTATACTATTGTCGTGGTGTTTGATGATTCATGAGGCAAGTCTACCCTCTCCCTTGAGGTAACTCCATGATAGGGAGGAGATGTTGTTTATCTTTTGTTTCATTTATTGAGCTCTTGTCTTGTTGCTTCTAAGATCATCATGCAACAAATTTGTAATGATTGATGATTTGAGAATCGGATTTGCTCCTCCCTTGATCATCTTCATGATAGGGAAGGACAAAGAGGATAAACATTTCCTGGAAACACTCTGTTTTTGCTTTGTTTCAGCTCTGTTGCAGCAGGGTATTTCCCAGAAATAGTGGCCAGCCGGCCATCATTCTGTCCAGCTGATCACTACCTATCTTGTACAGATAATGGCAATTTTACAACAGAGCAGAGTAGAATCTGAGGCCAAAATAGAATCATTTTCTGACTGCAAACAGAGAAGATTCTGGCAGCAAACAGAAATGTTTCCGGAGGATGTTCTTGATTGTGCACATGTAATTCCTTGCCTTCCGTTCAAGTCCATTAGCTTGTGGCCTTTAGATTCAATGTTGCAATTAATTAGTTGCTTTTCTTTCATTCTAATTTGTAATAGTTAATTAGTTAGTTTACTTCATTCAATTGTGTTGTAATAATTAGTTAATTAGGACATTCATTCGGACCCTCTTGCAAGGGAAAACTTGTCATATTTTGTATGTCTTTCAACCCCTATTTCTTTCTCCCTTTTATTTACTTGCTTATCATGATTGCATATAGTATCATGTTTTTGATTTCATATCATTATCATGCGTTGTATCTATTTTTGCGTGCATTGGGTTCGGTTCATCATTCTACTTACTTGAATACGTGCGCAACCGCATGCTTTGAGTTGATCTATATGGCATGATAAATAAGCCGAACCTAGTAGTTGCATTTTGTATGTGTTGCATTAGTCACTTTGCATATTAGGAGCATGCATTTTTTCTAATTATTTTCTTTTTTTCGGCTTGCCTCTATTGATTACTAGGTGAGTATTTTTGCTTTAGTATATCGCATGTGTGTTTGTGTTTCCATATTAAGCATACTATCATGAGACTAAGTGCTTATTTGAAATACCTCTTGAATGCCTGTGGATGAAGGCTATTTCGCTTAAGTTGGAATGACTTTGATTAATGTACATATGAGCTTACTTTTCATTCAAGTAACACATATTCAAAACTCTTTTCAAACAAACATGAAATCAAAGCATTCCAAAGTGGGTGAAATAGTCTATACTTGTGTGCCTCATATAGTAAGTTAGCATTAATAAATCATAACAACAGCATATAGTGTTGATAAGAATTACATCATGATTAGTGGAGGTCGATCTTTGATTGGGTGAGGGGTGTGCTCAATTCATGACATTCCACTCTCATGCCTAAGTTCTCGAGCCAAGTGGCCTTTGGTTATGATGGACAAGTGGCCTTTGGCACGAGTCACGGGTTTTCTAAATTTTTCAAAAATATTTAGGTGGTGACTCTGAAATCTTGCAATGCAGTCCATTTCTAGCATCTCTGATGATAAATGGATTTTCTAAAGATTTGTCAGATTTGGACTTTTATTTGTGTTTTTTTATTTCACATTGCACTTGTGAAACCACATTCAGAACCATGGGAGTCTGAACTGTAGGGCTATCGTATCCGAAAAGACTAAACCCCTCCGAGGAGCACGAAAACTAGCTACAATGTTCGCTTGTGCTCAAGCGGTGTGGCTTGACTGCAAAAGTACTGGATGGTGCTAAAGTACGCTCGAGCCGTCACTTGGTCGCTCGAGCCAAGTACAATGCGAATGTGAGGTTTGCTCGAGTGCACACTTGGTTGCTCGAGCTAACTGCAAAGTTATGCAAAAATATTGGGAGCATGCAAAGTGCGCTCGAGCGACGATTTCATCGCTCAAACAAAGTTGTCGAATTTTGACTTTTTTAGAATTGAGTTTTAAGGTCCAAAACACAAATTTTAAATCCAAAAGCTTGCATGGCTGGTTCAAACATATAAAAACACTCTCCAAACACATGAATACTTGATAAACACCAAACCAAAGACTCAAAATTTCTTTCAATTTTCCAAAACAAAACCCAAAACTTCACATTCAAATCTTCTCAATTCTTCACTCTCTCTCTCTCTCTCTAAAAGTTCTCTCTCTCTCTCTCTCTCTCTAATTTCAGCCAAAAGATGATGAGAATGAGCTCAAAGAGGCTTAACACACATATATAAATCATGGATTAGATTAGGCTAATTAAGTAGGATTAAGTCTAATTAAACAAGCTTAAGTCTAATTAATCATAATCAATTCTAATTGATTTATTCCAATTATTTTAGTTTGAATTAAATTTTAATCAAACTTACCATTTGGTTCTAAATATTCTAATGAGCCTATTAAATTAGTCAATTTCGATTTCTGAATCCATTTGGACTTTGAATTTCTAATTCAAAGTATCTTCTAACAAATATTCCATAAACAAACATATAGTCACAAAATTAAACATATAATCATGCAAATATTCTCAATAAAATAGTATGAAAAAAATGATAAACACATTGGGGTCGTCACACTTTTATAATTGAGAAGGTCAAAGTGATACTTCTCAATAATTTAAGAATCTCTGTGCAAATAACCCTATTTTATTTTAGGATTTATTCTTTAATGTGTATTGTTCTTATTAGTAAATTTATATTAGAGTATAATAAAATTTGGGTGTACTCAATTATTATTTAGGTGCAAATCACCTTGTTTGGTTTTGAATTTTCAATAACTGTTTTTTGAGTTTTTATTTTTATGTTTTTAATAATTTTTAAAAATATTTTAATCAATTTTTTTTTTTAAATTTTGGATTCACTTAATCTTAATATATTTAAAAATTAAAAAATTTAAACAAAAATCTTTAAAAAATTCATTGAAAACAACAAAATATGAGAATGTATGAAATTTTAATATATATTTTTTGTATTTGGTGAATTTAAATTTTTTTAATATTATATTTTTAAAATATATTTAAATTAAAAATTTACATAAAATATTAAAAAAATTATTAAAAAAAAATATAAAAAATATAAAACTTGGGATGTGTTTGGTGGAGTTTTCAAAATATGATTCCACAACATGATTTGAATGCTTTGTTTGTTTACAATTTTTAAAAATTAATTCCACACTCACTTTTTAAAACACGTCTACTCGTTCATTCACCCGGACGTCCAGCCAGTTGACGGCCGATGACTGGAACAGTGTTCATGTTTTTTTTATTTTTTGGCACCTGTTATTTTTATATTTTACAGTTGACCGGAATAGTATTTGTGTTTATTTTTTTTTGGCACCTGTTATTTTTATATTTTAAATAAAAAATATTTTGGAAATTTTTTTTAATTTTTTTTTATAAGTTTTGAATAGGATTTTAGGTTGTGTGTTTGGTTATGAGTTGTAAATTTTTGAATCAAATATTATATGTCATATCACTCAATTTAAACTCTTTTCAAAACTTATAACTAAATAAATTTTTCACACTAAAATCATAATTCTAAAACTCATAATTCAAAATATAACTACTCTATTGTCAAATCATAATTTTAAAGTTTTACTAAACACAACCATAATTTTCTAAACAGTAGACTCAATTTTTTTTATTTTTATAATCAGTGGTATTTTAATTATATTGATTTATAATCCCAGGTTTCTAAAGTATATTCTTGCACACGTGAGAAGCGACGGACAGCTTGAAAGAAACCAGGTGAACTCCGTTTCTACGTTTCTGGTTCTCCTAATCAACAAAATTCTTCTCGTCTCTCTCTCTCTCTCCCCCTCTCTGTAAAGTCTAAACTCATTCTTTGGTATTGTTTTCTGTTTATCGTTGTTCTTTGAAGCCAAAATGGTTCTGTAGTTTTCTTCTGGGTTCTGCTTCTAGGTTTTGATTTTTACCTAACGTAAGTGCCTCTCCTTCAACTTTTCTATACTTTCTCACACATATATGTATGATTTTTTTGTGTTCTTTCTCAACTTCTGTATCTTGATTTTTGTTCGTTAATTCAGTTATTGATTTTTTATTTGTTTCTATCTATGATGAGATTTTAGAGTGTTAGTGACTTTTGATTGTTTGTATTGAAATCTTAACATGAATGAATTGGTGGTGGTTTTTTTTTTTTTTTTTTTCCCTCTCTCTTTGGAGTTTTCTTTGTTATAGATTGTATTCCGTGAATTTCTGGTTGGGTTTGGTATACTTTTTCTTAGAAACTTGCGAAAACTGTAGTTTGGGGTGAAAGCAGAGGAGGTGGCTGGGTTGTTGAGGGCGATGAATGGTGATAAGGCACTCGGTCCGGATGGGTTTACAATGGTTTTTTTCCAATATTGCTGGGAAGCGTTGAAGGCGGATGCAATGGTGATGGTGGAACCGTTTTTTTAGTCTGGGCAGTTTGAGAGAAACCTTCATTGCATTGATTCCAAAGGCGGTGGGTGGAGTGTGTATAAGTTATTGGCTAAGGTCTTGACCAATAGAGTAAGGGGTGTTTTGAAAGGGGTAGTGTCAGAGTCACAAAATGCTTTTGTAGAAGGGCGTTATATTTTGGATAAGTGTTAGTGGCTAATGAGTGTTTTGATTCTCGTAGTCAACAAGGGCAGGTGGGAGTCATCTGTAAGTTGGATATTGGAAAAGCATATGATAATGTAAACTGAGAGTTCTTATTGTCTGTTTTGGAGAAAATGGGTTTTGGGGGGCAGTGGAGACGGTGGATTCAATTTTGTATATCTACGGTGTGGTGTAGATGTCTGTGTTAGTGAAACGGAATGCTGGCAGGTTTTTCATAGACTTTTCGGGGCTTCCGACAAGGTGATCCGCTACCCCCTTGGTTGTTTGTTTTAGTTATGGAGGCATCGAATAGGCTGTTGTCTCTGGCGGTGCAAGGTGGTCTATTGGAGGGTTTTATGGTGGGATTGGCATCTACGTCATCAGTTGTTGTTTCTTATATTTTGTATGCCGATGGTGCGCTCATATTTTGCGGTGCTAATGTGGAATAGTTGGGGTATTTGAGATGTGTGCTTCTATGTTTTGAGGCGGTGTTAGGGCTTTGGTAAATTTAAAAAAGTTAGAGTTGATTCCAGAAGGGGATGTGGATGGGGTGTCAAACTTGGCAGCTATTTTGAGATGTAAGGTGTTGACCTTATTGTACTTGGGTTTGTCGTTGGGAGCTTCTTTTAAGGCAAAAAGGGTGTGGGATGGCATGTTGGAGCGGGTTCAACGGTGATTGGCGGGGTGAAAGTGACAATATTTGTCTAAAGGAGGGAGGTTGACCTTGATAAAGAGTGTCTTGTCGAATGTTCCAACCTATTTTATGTCAGTCTACATGATTCCAATATCGGTGGAGCATCGGTGGAAGAAGTTGCAGTGGGAAATTTTATAGGACGGTGGGGGGAGGGAGGTGTTTAGATATCATTTAGTGGATTGGGATTGGACTTGCGTGCCCAAGGAGGTGGGTGGTTTGGGGGTTTGGAGACTGGTGTTGTTCAATTTGACCTTGTTGGGTAAGTGGCTTTGGCGCGTTGCGTGGGAGAGAGAGTGGTTGTGGCATCAGGTTGTGGTAGCCGAATATGGGGTGGGGAGGAGGGAGTGGAGTTTAGGCGTGGTGGGGGGTTCACAAGGGCAGGGTTTGTGGAAGGGGATATGGCTGGGTCAGGGAGAGTTTTCGAAACGGGTTCACTTTATGGTGGGGTTTGGGGATAAGGTGAGGTTTTAGCATGACAGATGTTGTGGTGAGGAACCTTTAGTGTTTTCATTCTCGTTGATTTTTCGTATTGCTGTTGATTGAGAGGCGTCAATGGTGTCTTATTTTGCTTGGAATGGGATTTTGTAGTTTGGGATATTAGATTGTGTTGGCAAGTCCAAGATTTGGAGGTTGGATAGCTGGTGGATCTTTTGGGTCTTCTGTATTGTTTTCTGTTTATCGTTGTTCTTTGAAGCCAAAATGGTTCTGTAGTTTTCTTCTGGGTTCTGCTTCTAGGTTTTGATTTTTACCTAACGTAAGTGCCTCTCCTTCAACTTTTCTATACTTTCTCACACATATATGTATGATTTTTTTGTGTTCTTTCTCAACTTCTGTATCTTGATTTTTGTTCGTTAATTCAGTTATTGATTTTTTATTTGTTTCTATCTATGATGAGATTTTAGAGTGGTAGTGACTTTTGATTGTTTGTATTGAAATCTTAACATGAATGTCCTATTACCTCCCGTTTGTGGGTCCCCCCCCCCCGCCGCCCCCCCCCCCACATCTTTGGAGTGGTTATGGGTTCAACCAAGGGGTGTGCTGCAAGTTCTTCGGAGTTGGGGTGGGGATTGGGTTGGGAAAGCAGTGCCAGAAGGCTTGGGCACTTGGTTCCCTGTGCTTAATGTGGTTGATTTGGTTAGAGTGGAGCTGGTGTACTTTTCAGGCTGTCACTCATCCCATCCCTTGGTTAGAGAATAGGTTATTGACAGTTTTGTACAGTTGGATTACAGGAAACTTGCATACACTAACTTAAAGTGTGAAAGTGAAAACACAAGGGCAGTACAACTAATTTAGACTTGCTGAAATAAAATTTTTATAGCACTCACTGAAAAAAAAGTAAATTGATTTTTAAATTAATACCCAACTCCTAAAGAATTGTTTCTCACCTTTCTTTGAAGTTATGTATAATATGATACTAAAAATTAATATTATTGTATCCGTACCCGTGTTTCATAGGGTTGCGGCCATGACAGAATGTTCATCTCCTGAATGTGAAATGGAGCTGCTGACTGAACCATTATTTTGCCGGATTGTCAGATTTTCTAGGAGTTGGTAGTCTTGAAGGTTTTTTTTTTTTTTTTTTGGGTTGTTGTCACTCTAAGAAAGCTGATCAATGAGTTATGTGATAGCTTATGCCATTACATGTATTGCTTCTCAAACTAGGGGAGAATGTGTGTGGGTTTGGAATCCTTTGGTCTTGCTGTGGTTGTGTTTGTTCTTTCCATAAAGCTGAAAGACAAAAAAAAAAAAAAAAAAAAAAAAAAAAAAAATAACTAAATAAATACAAAATATTAATATAAATAAATATTAAAACTCTGGCAAGTAGACAATTGCTTTGTCAGGTTTAAAATTTTTTTAGTTGCTATTTCTTCTCTAAAATGTGGTGTTTTCTTTCTTTGGCTGTTTGTTTGTGTGTTTGTTTGTAGTTTATTTACTAGTTGAATTTACATGAACTAGGACAATATGGTCAAAAGGAAATGATATTTAACCAATTTACTTTATTCAATCCTTGATAAAGTTTCAATTGAATTTATGCAGTTGAGTAGTGCCATCTTGATCTTGGGGCAGGATAATAACATTACTACACATTTACAAGCACTCTCAAAATATGATCTCTACCGATTTTAAAGGTATAACCTGGGTTGGAGATATATACCAGAAGTTTGAAACCATGTGCTTGGAGTTGGAAGAAGATATGTATCGGGTAAACCTATAATTTTTTGCTGCATTAAGAGCTGCCCTGCAAGGAAAGTTCCTATTATTTGTTCCTAGTGGTAGTACAATTACAGCTATTGTCAGAACACTCTTTTCCAACCTCTTATTACTATCACTTGCTCTGGGCATGCTCTTTTCATGAGATGATTTTTCTTTATCATCTATTTTCTTTCCCCACAAGTGGGCTAAATATTATCCTTTGTGGAAACATGGTCTGTGTGTCTGATATGGAAGCATTTAATGTGATATGCATTCTTGTTAGTCACAAGTCTGACCATAGATGGTCATTGGAATTGGCAAACTTCTAATTATAATTTAAATTGATATTTTTGGCAGGACACAGTTAAATATGTTGAAGACCAGGTGCAGACAGTTGGTGCAAGTGTCAAAAAGTTATACTCTGATGTCTTACAAGATTTGATTCCTCTATCTTCTATAGATCCTGTCGCTGATTTGTCTCTGAACCCATGTACTGATTTTGGGATCTACAAGAAACCAAAAACAAGCATCAACGAGGATCGGATAAAGGTCAATAAACCAGTTGCTAAGGATTCAAAAATTATCGCTGGTGTGAATGCGGACCATACCTCATTTTTCAGTGAACATCAAAATGTTTGTAATTTTCTGCGACCATCTTCTCTGGGCTTGATTAAAGGAGGAAGGTCGGAATTGTGTTCAGAGAAAAATGAGGATGAAGATACCTGTGAATATTCAAATGTGGATATCAAAATAAAATCTAAGAGGAATAATCATCCGTCATCCGCAATGTTATGGCCAATCACTCCTGGGTCAAAAGATTTGATAAGGGCTTCATTGTGCCACCAACTAAGTAATAATCATGAAGCAGTATGTGACCACAAAGTTATGACATTATGCTCAGCTTCAGTTGAAGTTGCTGAAGGTCACTCCAGAGGAGCAAAATTTTGTAACAATACTGTTAGCTCAGCTGTGTCTATTGCAGATGCTGCTATTGATATCCCAACAAAACCCATTGAATCTTGTGTGAAGAAAGAAACAAAACTGAGTACTTACACCAGTGGTGGGCCTGGTGGGTTTTCAGCACAATCAATTGGTAATATACTTCTTTGCTGCATTAAATTTTAGCTTGTAGTCACTTCCTGTAGTTTCTGTGTTAACTTCCTGCTTTGGCAACTGCAGGCACATGTACAAATAGTGGAGGGATTTCCTCGATAGAGTTATATGCTTGTGGTGATGCACAATATATTGAATCTACTATTGAGGAGGATGTTTCGTCTCATACAGGTATTGATGTTTCATAGTTGATATGAAGCTTCTCTTTCTTTCATTAATGAAACTAGGAAAATGAGTTTGTTGAGGTTTCATTAGTGTAAATTATTTTGTGATGATGCATGAACAAAGTTAGTGATGGAGAATTGTTTTGACCTAAAGGATGGCACTAAAGGCCATGTTTGGATCATCGATTTGGTTAAGGATTTGTGGAGAGAAGAGAAGAGAAGAGAAGAGGGAAATGTGAAATAAATTTAGCTTACATGTCATTCACATTTCCCTCCCCATTTCCTATCCCTACACAAATCCCAATCCAAATATGCAGTTTTTTTTTAAAAAAGAGCCGAATCCTCAACTCCTGTCAAACAAAATGTGAACTGCACTAGTCTACTAGACTAGTTGTACGCAGGGAGTTGCCTGCTCTGCCTCTACTCTTTTTTTTTTTTGAAACAACAACGAAATTTATTTTATTAAAGAAGAAAGAAAGGAGGACGAGAAATACTCATACAGAGAAAAGGAACATGATGAAAGTAAAACACAGCCATCATAAAAGAGAAAAAAAAAAGCAAACCCAAACACTAAGGGTTACAAATAGCAGCCCAATCCCTAGAAATCAAGAAAAGAGGGATTCCCCTAAAAGGAGGAGACACAAAGGCTCAAAAAGATGCCAAAAATCCAGCCCTATCCCACAACGAATCTGCATCAGCCTCCTTTCCATCAAAGATCCGTGCATTTCTCTCCAGCCATATGATCCAGAAAATAGCACAAACAATACAAGACCACAATGACTTGGCTCGCTTAGATCCGCCGAACCCATCAAACTTAACAAGAAGCATATGTGTGCAATCCCGTGGAGCAACCCATTTAACATCACACAAGCCAAATAGACGCTGCCATAACTGAATAGCCACCGAGCAATGGAGAAAGAGGTGATCCGCTGATTCCGAACTCCTCTTGCACATCACACACCATTGAGGGCAAAGATGGTGATTTGGCCTTCTCCTTTGGAATAGATCATTGCTCATAACACCTCTCTGAGCTAAGGACTACATGAAAAACTTTACTTTATGAGGGACACCCCCTTTCCAAATTTTCATGTGAAGAGGAAACAGAGGAACGGATGACTTATCAATGAGATTATCAAACAAGGATTTACAAGAAAAAACCCCTGAAGAGCTGATATTCCACACCCTTTTATCAGGATATGATGCTAAGGAAACCCCACCAACCAACGCCAACAAAGATGTCAACTCAAGAGACTCCCTATCACTAAGATTCCTAAGGAAGTTGAAATTCCAAGATATTGGTGCCACATGAGAACGTGCCACCGACTCAATTGAAACATTTTGAGCTTGAACCAATCGATATAAAAGTGGAAAAGCTTTATCAAAAGATGTATCCCCTACCCAAACATCCTCCCAAAAACGTATACTAGCCCCATCACCCACTTTCATAGAGAAAAACCGAGACACAATTGGATACAACCGAGAGATAGACTTCCAAGGAGAACGACAACTGCCCCTACTAACCACAATAGAATCTCTACCATTAACCTGAATTCCATACTTGCTTTTAATGATAGAACCCCATAAGGACTCGCTTTCCTCGGGAAATCTCCACAACCATTTGCTCAAGAGGGCAATGTTTCTAGCAACAATGTTCCCAATAGCAAGACCCCCTTTATGACGAGGAAGGGAAATCTCCACAAACATCACCGATCAATGCACTCTGTCTTCCCGACTGTCTATCCTCCTCCACTATGCCACGTGTCCTTACTGACCCTTCGAACTTCTCATCTCCCCTACCGCCGGTGCTGGAATCTGATGAGTCTTGTCGGAGAATCCATGGCTGAGGCACCTCTCTTCTTCTGATAGGTCTAGACAGAGGCTTCAAGCGAACACTGAACGATGCTTCCCCCACCATGACATCGACAGTGGATGGTAAAAACCCAGAATCAAATCCTCTCACCTTCAGCCTAGCCTCAAAAAGGTTCTTAAAGGTGCTAGTCCTGTGATCCACTTCCAGCAGTCCTCCACACTTCAACCCTATCGTCTCGAATGTTTCCTCATTCCATAGATGAAAGGGTAAATCGCAGATAGCAACCCAGCCACCATATGAAGCAATGACATTAAGACAGCTATGCCTATTGTCAGACCAACTCTCCAACTTCACCGCAATACCCTTGTCGAAAAATCGCATCCCAAATCCTCCAAACTCTGCAGCTTGTTCCTTACTCTCGGTGATAAATAGAGCTCGGTTTAATTGAAAAGGTCGAAGAGTGACAGAACACTTAAGATATTTGCATAACTCTCTCTCAATCTGTTCCCAACTAATAAAGAAATCAGTTATGGTACAGACTGCCGCGTGATTCAAATCTATGCTCATACTGTTCCTTGCCAAATATGAGGACTCGGCCTTAAACAACTCAGCGTATGATCGACCTCTGTTCACCCCTGTATTTTGACCTCTGGTTGCCCTTGTTATATGGCCTCGGAACTCCCCTGTGATGGCCTTCTCCATATGAGGTAAATAAGACCTTGAAAGCTGACTCTTCCTGAGCCCTCTCCTATCAACCTTAACCCCCTCATTACCTTTGTTGCCTCCATAAATGATCCTACCAAGCAACTCAGCTGTGTGTAGCCATCCTTGTCCATCAACCCCCACCGGAATAATGACATTGCTTCTCTTGATCCCTGCTGTCCACTTAGACAACTCAACGAAAGCTCCCCTCTTGTTATTGAGCCTCTGAAGACAAAACACAGTAGAATGACTTCTATATTTGCTAAAAAAAACTGCCTCACTGAACCTTCTCCACGCCTCTAGCAAAGCTTCCTTTACCCAGAAAACGCCTCCCAAATCATCTTCACAGAAAAGCTTCTGGCTCGATTTCTTTTAGTTATCTCCACTAATTCCCCTCTGGACTCCTCATCGATTTTGATGATAATAATCTTCTGTTCAACTCTCAGTTCAGATGCTCTCCCTCTATAAGCCATTACTTTGAAATTACTTCTCGGGCAATTGTATCTATTCCCTACATTGGTGGGGAATGTACGGTAGACAAGATTGCCTCTACTCTTAGGGTTTTGTGTGTGTGCACATGCGTTTCTAGACTAATTCTAATTTGTTTCGAAGGCAACAAAGATATTTGACGTACTTATTCCTTCCAAGTTTCTAGATATTGCAATCAAAAAAATATTTCACTTCTTTTACATAGAATCATGCGATCTTTTTGGATCCATTTCATGGTTCTATTTTCTCCTGTCGAATAAAAGCAGCTTTATTGTACATTCCCTATGCACTTGCGTATGACTTGCTCTTGGATGTGACATTAGAACCTGCCATTATTTTCACTTGCATCAATGGTTTAGACATTTGCATTGAGATGATTTATGTATTGTTTCTATCAGTTTTATGTTTAAAAGGTATGATGAATATTCTTGATGTCTTTGAAATGATGATATTTGAACTTTCAGGAATGTTGCTGTATGTTTATAAGGAAAAGAGAAATTGTATATTCAATTGTGTGTTTAATATAGAAGAATTACATCAGTATTTATAACCTGGGTTAACCCTAAAATAAGGAAATAAGCATAATTCCTAGAATATTAACAGAATAAAATGTACGCAATATCTTTAGAATATCTATGATATCTATGGAATTTTGATAATATCTAAGAGAACATCTACAAATATTCTCAATATCTCCAGAATATCTACAATATTCATAGTTGTCAAATCGGGAATCGAACCGAATCGCGAATTGAATCAAATTGTGAATTGTAAAGATTCGGTTACTTTTTTTAAATTACTTAGAAAAACATATCTACACATTTAGATGTTGAATATATCTTATATTTCGTTGTTGTTTCAAAAAAAAAAAAAATATGAAATATTTAGACTTAAATTAATAAAAACGTTGTTTTGAATAATGATATTTGGACAATAAAGCTTATGTATCTTTCCAAGTAACAATGAACTAATAATAAGAAAGAATTAATTGAAATCCTTTATTTTAAAACGTAAACATTATAAAAGTATGCATGCTTATTATTTAAAAAAATAAAATAAAAAACCAAGTAAAGAACTTGTGGAACCATTAGGTTTAAATTTCGCAAGCTATGGCTGTTGTTTGACCCTGTTGTAATTGTTTTCTAATGAGTTTTGAACCTCAACAGAATGACTTGATCCATGCATGGGGCCTGGATATGCAGCTTGGTTACTGTGCACAGGCAATTTTTCTAATCCTAAAACTTCTTTGTATGACTCTCTTCTTGTGGATGCTAATGACATTTGGACCATTTTTTTACAGGGTGATCGGACAAAAAACATTGGTGTGGTTGACTCTGAGTTTGTAGTTCATTTGGGTCTTCCTACACTGGGTGTTTCAGATGGTAACAAGGTATGCAATTCTTATATTTTTATGAGCACTCATTTCTAGGGTTGGGATAGACTAACAGCTTGAAAACTACGTATGAGAAAGGAAATGACCAAAATGTTTCTGTTTTCTAAAATATCAAAGCGAAACATTAGTGGAATACCAAAATTGTCTGTGCTTCTTAGGTTGACACCAATACCAACCCCTCATACATGATAACCCCTCATACATGATCAGAGCCATAAGATTTAGGCCCGTATTTTGTTTTCTCACCGGCGGGCAGCCGGCCGGCAACCTTGCCTTCGCTGCCCGCTGGAATTTTGTACACATACCTTCACTTTCTTGCATCTTCCAACTTTCTTACAACTGTTGTCCCATAGATGGGCTTCATATCTACCAGTCCATCTATGCCTTGTGACACCTCTATACTGTGAAATCCTCTGTCCAAATGTATCAATGGACTTCCTATGGACAACCTGCTTCTGATCAAGCTTCTCAGACCCTCTTTTCTTCCCCTCCTTGAATGGTGTTTGGTACACCTCATGGCCTCTAAATGCATAGTAATCTGAGTATTGCTGGGCTTGAATCTGCTGTTGTTGACTATTGTTGGTCTCATGATCTGGGTTGTGGTGGTAGTACA